GCCGGACATGTTCAAACATGTTCCCAGATTTGTTCAATTTTACCCCCGGGGAATTTTCCAGAGTCGAGCATGCTTTGCCTTGCCAGGTCTTTGGGAATCCGTCGAGGCGCGCGGTGCGCGGCGGCGGGCGATGGGACGGCGCGCCATCGTCCCCTCCGCGCTCGGCAACGAGAGGGGGGAGTCAGCAATTGCCAAGTAGCCTTTTACGGGCGACCACTCGATTGCGAATGGCTGACTGACCAGCGGCGCCAGCCAGAGTAGACAAACCTCGACGCCAGGTGTACCCCGCGCGAAGGCTGTTAGAAATCCCGGAATTTCCGGAACGTATCAATAGCACGCTGTGTCAATAGATTCTTCCTGTCCTAACGAAGCGCTGCCCTGGGTGGGGGAACCGCATGCGGGCACCCCCGTGGAGCCCCCTATGGGGCTACGAAACGCTGCCCTGGGTGGGGGAACTGCATGCGGGCACCCCCACTGGGGCCCTCGGTGGAGCTCCCTATGGGGCTACGACACGCTGCCCTGGGTGGGGGAACCGCATGCGGGCACCCCCACTGGGGCCTACGGTGGAGCTCCCTATGAGGCCACGAAGCGCTGCCCTGGGTGGGGGAACCGCATGCGGGCACCCCCACTGGGGCCTTCGGTGGAGCTCCCCATGGGGCTACGAAGCGCTGTCCTGGGTGTGGGAACCGCATGCGAACACCCCCACTGGGGCCTTCGGTGGAGCTCCCTGTCGGGCTACGAAACGTTGCCCTGGGTGGGGGAACCGCATGCGAACACCCCCACTGGGGCCTTCGGTGGGGCTCCCTATGGGGCCACGAAGCGCTTCCCTGGGTGGGGGAACCGCATGCGGACACCCCAACTGGGGCCTTCGGTGGAGCTCCCTATGGGGCCACGAAGCGCTGCCCTGGGTGGGGGAACCGCATGCGGGCACCCCCACTGGGGCCTTCGGTGGAGCTCCCTATGGGGCTACGAAGCGCTGCCCTGTGTGGAGGAACCGCATGCGGGCAGGAGGACGGGGGGTGGGGAGGAGGGGGGAGGAGGAAGGAAGGAAGGAAGGAAGGAAGGAAGGAAGGAAGGAGGCGCGGGGCGCTGTCTCTTAAAAACGAGGACCCAACACCACAGGATAGTTGGGAGAAATAGTCCCAAAATAGTCTGGGGACTATTTTTTGAGTATATTTTTGTTGGTGTATTTTGGGTTTCTTGTTTTCGTGAAAAATCCCCCTGTAGGGGGACAGGCCCGACTTAAGACCACGGCGATTCCACGAGCTTCCAGGGCATCCTCTCGCACAGCCATGAGAGCGGCCGACCTCGGCCCTCCAGGAGCGGGATCGCACGGCGCGGAAACGCACGGTGTTCCTGCAGTGGGGGCCCGTGCCAGGAAGCACCCTGCTTGCCTCCAGGGTGCCCTGGGTTTCTTGGGATTCGATGGCTTTGCTGCGGAAAGCGTGGCGTTCCCACACCAAACTTCAATGCACGTCCTGGGGTCTCGGGGTTGGGCTTCTCGTGGTAGGGCCTCCACTGGAAGGTCGGGGTTCGTGGCTCTATCGGATTCGAGTCGCCAGCCCCTGGAGCCATCACGACGGCCCCAGGGCCTGGAGGCGGCGCCTGGAGGCCGATCAGGAGGGGCCATCCCCAAGAAAAGGTGCACAAGTTATGGACAGCGGGTGGGAAGACGAAAACCCAGAAGGTAGGGGAAGATGTCGGGAATCCTGGGATTCGTGTCTGTTTCTGTGTGTGTGTCCATGGGCCCCTTCAGCCGAGCATCGCGAAACAAGTGCCGTCTCGAGCTCCTCGGGCCGCCAGCGGGGCGGGGGGGGGCCTGGGCCTCACGGTGTCTCTCACGGAGCCGCCTCCGATTGGGGTAGGGCATTGGAGGAGCCCGCGCTTCCTGGGCACGCCGCGAAGGACGGTCGGCCCTGAGCACTGGGGGCCCCAGGGGGGGGTGGGGCCCCGGCCGTCGGAGAGCCCCTCCTCTCCGGGGCAGAAGCCGGAGCGCGGAGGAGGGGGCCGGGTCGCTCGGGCGTGCTTGCTGCTACTCCCTCTGGGCCTGGGCGGGGGCCTCCGCGCCCCCCCAGGGGGGGGCGGGGGACCTCCGCGCACCTCTGGGAGCAGTCCCGGGGAGGGGGAGCAGGAGAGGCCCTCCCCGAGTCCGCAGGGCCGCGGCACGAAAAAGCCTCCGGCGCACCCGCCAGAGCGCAGGAGGCCTTCCTTCAAGGGTCGCAGGCCGCGGGGTCCGCGGGAGGAGGCCGCTCTCGTTCCAGCGCGCCCGCGGGGTCGCTAAGAGCATCCGCGCCCTCGCGCGCGTCGTCCCTCGCCTCGTGGGGCTGGCGCGAGAGCGCGCATTTGCGCGGGGTGTCTTGGCATCGCTCGAACGTGTGCATGGTGTTTTCCTCGGCGAGGGCCATCGCAGAGCATCCTGGGTCATCGCGTGAACAGATGTGAGCGCACGAGGCCGAGCATGGCGGGGGACGGGGCGTCGGGGGCGACGGCGAGATGATTACGGTGGCGCCCCGCGCGGCGCGAAGCACGGCGAGGTTGGGCGATGTGGTCCCTGCTCGCTGCCGAGACGGGGGAACAGCTGGCTCGAGGGCAAAGAGCAACCAACCCTGGCCCCCAGCCTCCGATGGGGTACCAGTCGGAGGTTGGGGGGGGGGCAGGTCGCAGTGCAACGGAGAGCCCCCCTCACCGGGAATTCGGTTCCGCTTTCGTGCTCGTGCTCGTGTCGCGCGTGCCTCGTGCTCGTGTCTTGCGCGCGGGCGAGGCGAAGCGGCGAAGCTGCGTCAGCAGCTGCCAGCAGATGCTTCTTCCCCCCCCCACACACACACCTCCCAGCCTCCAAACTCCTTCTCACCCGAAGGGCGGTCGTGGAGGTGTGCTATTCCTGGTCGGGCCCTCCACCCTGGAGTGCCCGTCGCTCTGGGCATCTCCGTGGGCACTGGGCCCTCGGCGAAGGGGCTCGCTGCCGAGACAGGGGCGAGGCTGGCGCGAGGGTGAAGGGCAACCCTATCGTGGAGTACCCCCGCGCCCGAAAATCAAGGGACGTCCGGGGGTCTCAGGGCCGGGTCTCTTGTGGAAGGCGTCTTGCGGTAGGGCCCCCACTGTAGCCCCCAGCCTCGGACGGGGCATCGGTATGTGATCTGCGGTCGGGCTCTCCAATCTGGAGTACCTTGTCGCTCTGGTTCGAGGGAGGAAAAGCCACCCGGACCAGACAAGTGGCGTTTACTAAGCGGCCTTGGGCGTTTACTAAGCAGCCCTGCCTTGTTCGACTCCTTCTTTGGGCGCGTTTGCTGAACGACCTCGCGTGTCGGGGGTGGTTGTTATCGGGGTGGATTGTCTGCCCTCTACTGGTGGGCATCTCCGTGGGCAGTGGGGGCCCTCGGCGAGGGGGACCCGTGATCCTGACCTCGCGGGCGTAGCCAAGGCCCGCTTGCAGGGGCGAAGCGGAGAGCCACGGCGTGCAGCTCCACTCGACCAGTTCCGAAGAAGAAGTGGCGCCACAAACATAAGCTTAGGTCGGGCCTGTCCCTCCACAGGGGGAATCTTAAAAATAGTCTAAAAAGGTAGTACGGGAGCCTTTTTTTCACGATTTCTGAATGTTCTTTGAGCATGTTGGGGGGTATTTCTTATTTTTCGTCCAAAATCCGCCTTTTGACGCTCCGCGCGGGTTTCTTGGATCCGCGCTGGGCCCCCCACCCTGGCGGCACCTCAGGCGCCGCCCCTGGCGCGCTCCGCGCGCCACGGAGGGGGGTCCAGCGCAGATCCAAGACGCGCGGAGCGCGGAAAGTGTCTGTTTGTGGCGTTTTCTCTTCTTCTGCAGTTGCGAACCCTGCAGGGGGGGCGCGCATCAATAACCCATATGCCTGTCGTCAGGGTATCCTGGGTGTCATCGCTCCGCGCGCTGCGCGGTGACTTCCCGCAGCCGTTGAAGAGCTGCTGCGTTCGGGGTGCTCCGGGTTTCCCCTCAGATGTACTTCGCGCGGGTGCTCAGGGTTGGGTTCCTCGCGAGGTTTTTTTGTGGCCGCGCCCGCGCTGTATACCCCTACGCGTCCAGGCGACGCTGGGGTAGCGGACGCCTCCGCTGCAGTACGCTTGGCTGCAGACATCCTTTGGAAATGTCGAGCCCCAGCCCGTTTTTTGGTCGTTTGGCTTCGAACCTGCAAGGGTAGGGTCCACGTCTGGTTGCGAGGGTCCATCCGTAGCTCCCACAACCCCCACGTCGCCTCTCTTCTCAATTCAGTTGGTGCGGCTCCCATGGAATTGAATGGGCTCCCACTGCGAGGAGCTGTGGTTCGGTTTGTCCGCTCTGCGTCCCCTCTGCTGTCCGTCCTTCCTTCTTATCATGAGAACAGCCTGCGCTGGAAAAACACAAGCAACAAATCTTCACGAGTTCTCTGAGTGATCGTTATTTATTGTTTTGCCGATCCGCGCGGTCCCTCGCACCCCCTCCCCCCCCATGAGGTAGGTCTTGGCTGTTGTTGGCGCCTGCCTTCAAACAGGTGGAGTCTCCCCCACAGGGCGCACTGCTGCAAACAGCAGCATGCAGCAGAGGTCTGGAGCCAGACCCGCCCCCCTCCCCCCCTTCCGCCCAATGTCGAAACGCCGAATAAGAGAACGTTCTCTACCTAGTAATGGCCTTCGGCCCATCCCACCACCGTGCCTGGGCGGCTGTGGGTATGAAGACTACAGGATGTTCTCTGGGATCTCGTGGGATGCTTCTCGGGGGCCTCCCGGAGGCAGCTTCGACGCCCTTTTGGGGCCGTTTGGAGGGCGTTTGGGGCCTCCCTGAGCCTGACCCCGGTTTCGGCGCCCTCAGGTCCACCGGCGTGGCGGCGGCGAGCCCTGCGAGGGCTCCCTGCGCCAGGCCGCCGCGCTCCCTCGTCGGGAGGTCGAGGGAGGCAGCCTGGCAGGCTGAGCGCGGGGGACCTGGAGGAGTCGGGGGACAGAGGGGAGGAGAGTGCAGGGAGGAGGGAGGATGGAGAGGGCAGGAGGTGGTGGAGGAGATGGAGAAGGAGGAGAGGGAGGAGGAGGAGGAGGAGGAGGAGGAGGAGGAGGAGGGAGGAGGAGGAGGAGGAGGAGGAGGAGGAGGAGGAGAGGAGGAGGAGGAGGAGGAGGAGGAGGAGGAGGAGGAGGAGGAGGAGGAGGAGGAGGAGGAGAGGGAGGAGGAGGAGGAGGAGGAGGAGGAGGAGGAGGAGGAGGACAAGGACGAGGACGAGGACGAGCAGGAGGAGAGGAAAAGGAGGAGCAGGAGGAGGAGGAGCAGGAGGAGGATGCGGAGGAGGACGAGAAAGAGGACGAGGGAGAAAGGTCAGAGAAGGCCAGAGAAGTAGAGGGTGGATGGATGAGGGTGGATGGAGGAGGCCAGAGAAGCAGACAGATGCGAAGCTGACTCGGGAGCCGCAGCGCCGACCATCGCCAGGCTCGGCGGACAGGTCCAGGTCTCGCGGGGGAGGCAGGGGCGCACGGGAGGGGCCCGAGAGAAGGGGGGGGGGAGGAGGAGGTGGAGATGGAGAGAGGGGAGGGGGAGGAGGAGGAGGAGGAGGAGGAGGAGGAGGAGGAGGAGGAGGAGGTGGAGGTGGAGGAGGGAGGCGAAGGCGAAGGAGGAGGAGGAGGAGGAGGAGGAGGAGGAGGAGGCGGAGGAGGGAGGCGGAGGCGAAGGAGGAGGAGAAGGAGCACGGAAGAAAGGCGAGGCCCGATGACCTCGAGCATCAATCAGTAGGAGCCGGAGGGAGCAGGTGGAGCACAGCGCGGAGGAGGTGGAGGTGGAGGGAGGGGAGCAGATGGTGGAGAAGCGGGCACCTGCCCAGCTCCTCGCGAGGTTTGGCCTTGAACTGCCTACTCGGCCTGATCGCGGCATCGGCTGAGTCGTGTTTTCTGTTGTCAGGAGCAGGTGGCGTTGACACTTGCTCCCGATGAGTACAGCACGGGGGGGAGCAAAGGATGCAGGAGGTGGGGGCGAAGGGCGGAGCGGCGCGCGTGCTGCGCGCTGAAGAGTTTCGCCTTCGGCGCATGCCGCCGTCGTTGGAAGCCGGCGGGAGTAAAGCTTCGGCGGCGGGCGGAAGGTCGGCGGAAGGCGGTGGAAGTACAAGTGAGACGCCAACATATTTCGGTTCAGAGTTTCCAGGGTTGGCCAGAGGTCAGCCCGTGTTGAGGATGCTCTCATTGGTAAAAACAGTCTTGATAGCACTATGACTACACATTCGCGGCGCGATGTGTGTAGATACGCATTGGACGGGCTACGCATACGGTTGTGTACCGTCTTGGGGCAGACCCGACCAATTGCACGGAGCTTGATATGAGTATGGTGCCCACGTGAAGTTGCAGGGGGAATCGGGGGGGGAGGTGGGTATCTCCACAAAATGTGTACCTACGTTGCAGGAGGGAGGAGGGAGAGGGAGCGAGCGAGCGAGCTAGCGGCAGAGAGAGAGAGAGAGAGTGTGAAAGAGAAGAGAGGGGGAGATAGAAGGGTAACTGAAGATGGAGAAGGAAGGAAGGACGAGTAACAAGGGACGATGGATGAGGAGGGAGGAGAAAGAGGAGAAAGATGAGGAGGATGAGCAGGAGGATGAGGAGGAGGAGGACGAGGAGGAGGAGGAGGCGGAGGAGGAGGAGGAGGGGGAGGAGCAGGAAGGGTTGGAGGGGGGAAAATGTTCCTCCTCTTTCCCTCTTCGGAGAGAGTGCTTAGGAAAGAGGAAGGGAGGGATAATGAATGATGGAGAGAGGGAAGAGGGAGGAGTCGGAGGAGGTGGGGTGAGGAGTGGGAGAGCCAGAGTAAATCCAGCGCGCACCAACGAGGCTGCAACGAGCCCAAAGGAGGCCCTGAGTCAGACAATCGCAAACATGGATCAAGGGGGCGTGGATTAGCGACGTGTCCAGTTTCCATGGGAAATCGCGGGTTTCCGCCGCTGAGCGAGGCGGCGCTGGCCGCATTTGGGGGAGGGCACCTCCCCCGATCCATGGATTTGGCCACCTCGCGCCAAATCCATGGATCGCTAATCCATGTTTGCGCACCCCCGACTGAGGAGGGCACAGCGAGGGGACCAGTGCGCGAGGGCAGCATCGCACAGCACCGCATCCCAGGGGAGCCCCGAGAAGCCCCAGGGCCCCCGGCGGGGCGCCCCCCGGGGAGCCTCCGCAGGGGAGCCACCTCGCGGGGGGCTCCCCGCGGACGCGGCTGGCCTTCTGCAGAAGCGCAGCCGGCCCGCTTGTGCGGGAAGGGGTGGCCTTTCCGTTCGGGCGGTCGCAGTAGCTCGATGTTCAGGCGATCGCAAGCATGGAGCAAGGGGGCGTGGATTAGCGACGTGTCCCGTTTCCATGGGAAATCTCGGATTTCCACCGCCGAGCGAGGCGGCACCGGCCGCATTTTGGGTAGGGCACCTCCCCCCAATCCATGGATTTGGCGACCGCGCGCCAAATCCATGGATCGCTAATTCATGTTTGCGCGCCCCCGATCGATTTGCACACCACGTCTCAGAAGTCAGGCGAAGGTTGGCAAACCTGTGGCTGCTAAAGCGAAGCTCCGGGAGAGTGTTGTTTCTTCCGGGAAGCAGCCCGTTTATTGTTTAGTGCGCTGAGTTTTATTCCTGGAGTTCGTTTCTTTCTTCCGGGAAAACTTCTTTGGCAGCCACGGATTTGCCAGCTTTCGCCCAGCTTCCGCCGAACGTCGTTCGGTAGGGCCAGGGATCCAGTGAACTCGGCGAAGGAGGTCGGTGTGCAGACGCTCCACCGCCCCACAGGTTGAGAGGCGGGGGCGTCTGTGCACCGACCCCTTTGGTCCGACCCGGCGCACTTCGAGCCCCTGCCCTGCGCGGCCCGACCCGACACCCAGCAGAGGGCCACTCTCGCATGGGGCCACTCCCTGCGTGCAGCCAGGCGGCCGGCACCATCACCACCCGCGGGCCACCCCCGGCGAGGAGGTCCACGATGCTCGGCCCGGACGGCCGACCAGTGGTGATGGGCCTGTTTTCCACCTCCACCATCATGAGTTGGAGGGTGGAGGGAGGAGGGGGAGGAGGAGGAGGAGGAGGAGGAGGAGGAGAAGATGGAGGAGGAGGAGGAGGAGGAGGAGGAGGAGGAGGAGCAGGAGGTGGAGGTGGTGGAGGAGGAGGAGGAGGAGGAGGAGGAGGAGGACCCCCTCCCTCTCCTACCTACGGTGGCGGTGGTGGAAAACAGGCCCATCAAGCGGCAGACCGGCCCCTTCCGTGACGGCCCGCCCCCTGCCTCGACTGAAGTCGTGGGCATGCGGTGGGGAGGAGCCTCGAGTGTGAAGGGGTCGGTCGGTGGCAACTCGTGGGCGCCCTGCATGTCCTCGAATCTCCGTGTTTCGAGTGCACTCGCGTGTGCCAGCGCCTGGTAATCGGTGAGAATGCGCCGCTGTGGTGTCGATTAGCGAGTCCCAGGCAGCGCGGGGGTTGGACTAGGTGGCGACCTGGTGGGGGGCTAAGTGGGGGTCAGGGTCGGTTCCAGGTCATGAAGTGTCGGGGGGGGGACAGAAGACCAGAGCACCCAGGGCAGTGCGGGTCGGTTCTGTGCTAGTACTTGTCGAGTCGGGGGGCCCAAGAACAGAGCTATAGTGTACCATCTTGGATGCAATCTTGGGCTGTCTGAGGCCTTCTTGGAGCCATCTTGGGCCATAGGACCCGACGGAATTCAATCTTGAACATCGTGCCGCGATCGGTTCAAGGTTGAACGATCGATTCGGTGTCAAAGACCTTTGCGCGCGTCGACGCCGCGCGAACCTACCATAGACAACAGGGTGCCTCCTGATCAAGTTATTGTTCTTGCCGGTCCTCCTGCTCCTCATCATCCTCTGTTCTCATCACCGCTCGGCGACGCTCCCCCGTCTCTGCATGTCCTCCTCTCGGCGCTTCCCTCCGCCCTGATCTTCCTCCCCATTCGCTCCGTACTCCCTGCTCCTCCTCTCGTCCCCCTCCACCTTCCTTTCCTCCTCCTACCCCCTCCACCTCCCTCCCTCCCTCCCTCTCGTCCTGCTCCTCCGCCTTCTCCTCCACACTTCCTCACCGTTGTGCTCGTCCTCTCCCTGCTCTCCCTCCCTCCCCCTGCTCTGCTACTTCTTCCTTCTGGTGTTCCCTCCTCTCTGCTCTTCCCCCATCCTCCTACATCCTCCCCCTGCCCTCCCCACCCACCCCCTCTTCGAGGCGCGAGGAGGAGAAAGAGAAGGGAGGAGCGATGACAAGGATGTCTCCCGCTCGTAGGCGACGACCAGCGATGGCGACCGACGACAGCGACCGACGACCGACGACGACGACGACGACGACGACGACGACGACGACGACGACAACGACGACGACAAGGAGAGACCCCCCGACTCTGCAGGTGCGGTCGTGCCCGAACGGGCCCGAATGCGCCGTCGACGCGCCCGAGGACCAGCCCTCGGTCTTTCGGGGGTGGGCGGCGGGCGCGGGCGGACCTTGCGCGATCGGGAGCCTCTCCGCCTCCTGGCCAGGGCGGGGGATAGAGGATTCGGGAGGAGGAGGAGGAGGAGGAGGAGGAGGAGGCGGAGGCGGAGGCGGAGGCGGAGGAGGAGGTCGAGGAGGAGGAGGAGGAAGACGAGGAGGAGTGGCGAGGAGGAGGAGGAGGAGGAGGAGGAGGAGGAGGAGGAGGAGGAGGAGGAGGAGGAGGAGGAGGAGGAGGAGGAGGAGGAGGAGGAGGCGCGGCGGAAGCGGCGCGCCCGGCGGCGGGGGGTGGACGGCGCCGGCCGGGCCGCCGAGCTGCGAGCTGCCGCGACGGGCTGCTGCAGCGCTCGCTGACCGAGCTGGAGGAGCTGGGCGACTACCCGAGCGGGGTCCGGGCTTGCCCGCACCCCGCTCGGGAGGTGTCGTCGCGACGCTCCTGGAGCTCAGAGCGGGCGCAAGCGCGGGCGCGGCGGCAAAGGGACCCGCGCCGCGGCCTTCGCAGGAGGGAGGAGGAGGAGGGAGGAGGAGGAGGAGGAGGAGGAGGAGAGAGGAGGAGGAGGGAGGAGGAGGAGGAGAGGAGGAGGAGGAGGGAGGAGGAGGAGGGAGGAGGGAGGAGGGAGGAGGAGGAGGGAGGAGGGAGGAGGGAGGAGGAGGAGGAGGAGGAGGAGGAGGAGGAGGAGGAGGAGGATCGAGGTTCCAGATTATGTTTGTTCTTGTTGCGTTTCTGGGCCTTTCTGGAGGGACCCTGGCAGGCTCCTCGTCGACGCTGCGGGGTTCCCCCGATCCTCTCATCCAGCCGCATCCCCGAAGAGATCGGGGGGTCGACCCTTCCAGACGGGCGGCTCGACTGAGGTGTGACTCGAGGGGGGTGCCCTGACAGAGGCTCGAGGGGGGGGGGGGGGGGGACCCGAGGGGCGTGACCCAGGGCGCGCTCCACGAGGCTTCACAGAGGGCCGCGCTTGCAGCACGCGGCGCACCGAGCTCGCAGAGCGAGGCGCGCGCCTCGTCCGTAGGCGTGAGGCTGGCACGTGCTGACAGAGCTGAGCTGGGCCGCAAGCTCGAGCTGCCTGGGCGCACTGCTCGCCCGGAGCTGACTGCAGTCGAGGGGGGGGGCCTTCTCAGAAGCCTGGGGCCCGTGGGACCGGGCGGGGGTCCGGGAGGTGGCGGGGGGCGGGGACGGGCAGGACGACGGGCAGGGGAGGACGGAGGCAGGACTGGGGGAGGGTGACGGGGACTTGCAGGGGAGCGCAGGGGGCGGGGGGACGGGCAGGGGGGGACGGGGAGAGCGTGCTCCTCCGGGGCAGGGCTCGTCCTCCGGGAAGAAGGGGCTCCTTCTCCTCCTGGGTGGCCCGCCCAAGAACCGAGGGAAGACCTTCTGATGGGCGGGAGCCCCCGAGCCCATCCGTGACGCCCCGCGTCTTTGAGGCGGCCGCCCCCTCGCTCCGCCTCCCCCGAGAGCGCACGCACCGCCAGGCACAAGACAACAATCGACGAGATCAAATGTGTGATGTGTATGATTTGGTATAGCTTTGCTGCCAGTGGTGCGTACGTGTGAGCTTTCGCCGGTCTCGACGGCTCTCCAGATCGGCCTGGGCAAAAACAGCTGTGGTACGGCCCTCTCTCTTGCCAAGGCTTCTCTGGGCACTCGGAGAGTGGCGCCCCGCTTTCGGGCCGCAGCGGCCGCCGCCGTCCCGGAGGTCGTTTCGAGTAATTAACTCTTCGAGCCCTAGGGGCCCCCAAGAGGCGACCCCCGTCTCAAAACTGGCCCCGGGGAAGGGGGTCGACGGGGTCGGTGGGGCGGCGCAATTGGAAGCAGCGAGTGGTCGGAGGTCTGCGCCGTGAGGCCCTCTTCTGGTCCTCCAGGACAAAGGGTTGACGTGTCTGCGCGTTTTCCTGTTGTCTTGGTCTCTGGCCCCTCCGGGGGCCCCCATGGGGACCTCCCACGCGCCATCCTCTCCTTCCTCTCCCTGGCGACGACGGCGGCGGCGGCGGCGACGGCGACATCGCCCTCCCCCTCCCCCAGGTCGGGGGACGCCAACTTTGTAACTCCGCGGGCGCCAAGTGGTCCAAGATAACTAGTCAGACGCCAGTCAGCAAGCGGCGTGGTGCACCGGGGAGGAGGAGGAGGAGGAGGAGGAGGAGGAGGAGGAGGAGGACGAGGAGGAGGACGAGGAGGAGGACGAGGAGGAGCGGAGGAGGAGGAGGAGGAGGAGGAGGAGGAGGAGGAGGAGGAGGAGGAGGAGGAGGAGGAGGAGGAGGAGGAGGAGGAGGAGGAGTTGCGAGGAGGAGAGGAGGAGTTGCGAGCGGGAGGAGGAGGAGGAGGAGGAGGAGGAAGAGGCGGAGGAGGAGGAGGAGGGAGGAGGAGGAGGAGGAGGAGGAGGAGGAGGGGGAGGAGGGCGAGGAGTAGGTGGCGAAAAGGAAGCGAGCGCGAGGCAAGAGGGAGGAGCCCGCTCTGGCCCTGACGACCGGCACGGGGACGCTGGGGTGCGCCATCGCACACATTTGCACCGGATGCTCTCCGAGCGCGTTCCACTGCTCGCAAAGTGCCTACTCGCAAACGTCTGGAAAAAAATCACATGCATCCATCTCCTCCTCCTCCTCCTCCTCCTCCTCCTCCTCCTCCTCCTCCTCCTCCTCCTCCTCCTCCTCTTCCTCCTCCTCTAATCTCCATCTTCTCTTCCTCTTACGTAATGGATCGTAGCCACCCCCCTTGCGGCGGATCCAGGCCTTCTGCGAGAAGTTGCTTTGCGAGCAGTGGAGCGCGCTTGTCTAGATGCTGTCTGGCCGAGTCTTGGGGCCAGGATCGTTGCAGTGCAGCGGCCAGGATGGTTGAGAGGCCTCGGCCCCTGAACGATCCGGGTTGGGATCCGGGCAGGCGTCTTGTGGGCATCCTTCCGATTGCCCCCAGTCAAACGAGGACACACGGCGTGAACGTGCAGTGCCGGAGGTCCGCGGGAACTTCTTGGATCGGCGCTGGACGCCCCGCGCCCCTGGCGCGCGAAGTGCGCCAGAGGCGCCGCCGGAGGCGCCGCCAGGGGGAGCCAGCGCCGAGCCACGAAGTCCACGCCCGCCCTCCGAAGGTCTGTAGTCTCGTGTTGTCTCCGTCGCCCTGCGGCCCAGGACCGCGACTGCTCCCTGAGCGAGTGGGCCGACTGGGGCGCCTGCACCAACCCCTGCGGCGGCCAGCGCACCCGCTCCCGGTCGGTGCTCCTGCCGCCGTCGGGCAAGGGCGCTCCGTGCGAGCAGGCGCTCGCCCGCGCGGGGCGCGCAGTCATCGACGTCATCTCATCACGGTCGCCGCCGCCGTCGCGGAGGGGGAGGGGGGGGAGGAGGCAGAGGAGGAGGAGGAGGAGGAGAAAGATGAGGGGGTGGAGGAGAGGGGAGAGGAAGAGGACGAGGAAGCAGATGATGATGATGATGATGATGATGATGATGATGATGATGATGATGATGATGATGATGATGATGATGATGATGATGATGATGATGATGATGATTATTCATGATGATGATGCTGATTCATGGTGATGATGATGATCATGATGATGATGATGTTGATGATGATGATGACGATGATGGTGATGGTGATGGTAATGGTGATGGTGATGGTGATGATGATGATGATGATGATGATGATGATGATGATGATGATGATGGTGATGGTGATGGTGATGATGATGATGACGATTATGATGGTGGTCATGGTGATGATGCCGATGGTGATGCTGATGCTGATGATGCTGATGATGATGCTGCTGATGATGATGATGATGAGGATGATGAGGATGATGAGGATGATGATGAGGAGGAGGAGGAGGAGGAGGAGGAGGAGATGGAGGAGGGAGGAGGAGGAGGAGGACGAGGACGAGGAGGACGAGGAGAACGAGAAGGATAACGAGGAAGAGGTGGCGAGAGGAGGGGGAGGAGGAGGAGGAGGAGGAGGAGGAGGAGGAGGAGGAGGAGGAGGAGGAAGGGAGTGGCGAAAGGAGGAGGAGGAGGAGGAGGAGGAGTGGGAGGAGGAGGAGGAGGAGGAGGAGGGAGGAGGAGGAGGCGGGGGAGGAGGGGGAGGAGTAGGTGGTGAGAGGAAAATGAGGAGGAGGAGACCAGCTTAACCCAAGACGCATCAACGATGTTGCAATAAACCCTCCCTCCAAGTTGCATCTTCTTCGCTTACGATCATGACCCTATAGGGGGGGTCTTACGGCCGGTGGCGCCGACCCTGAACGACGACGACGACGACGACGACACTGACGGCGGCGGCGGCGACGTCGGCGGCGACGACGACGCGACGACAAAGACGACGACAAAGACAAAGACGACGACGACAACGACGATGACGACGACGACGACGACGACGACGACGACGACGACGACGACGAGCACTCTCGGGGGCCTCTTGAGGGGTAGTTCTGGGGCCTCTTGGCCCTCTTGGGAGCTTCGTGAGAGCCTCTATGGGCTTCCTGGGGGTCTCTTGGGGACCTCTTGGGGCCTCTAGGGGGGCTTCTTGGGGGCATCTCGGGGCCTCCTGGGAGCCTCTCAGGCCGAGGGCTCGAAATGTCCGTTCGGTTCCCCCGTCTGGGCTTCCTCTTGGAGCCGTCTTGGTGGCCTCGCCGGGTGTCTTGGAAGCCTCTTGGGCGGTTTGGGGGCCCTCAAGGGTCGTTTTGGGGCCCTCTTGGAGGCCTACAGGGCGATCTTGGGGGCCTCTTGGGCTGTCTTGGAGCATCGGGAAGCCGACAAGGCGAGAACGCTAAAATCTTTCAAAAACGGAATACGAATCTGTGATGTTTGCCCCTGTGGGGCTCTCTTGGGAGTGCTCTTGGAGGCCAACTGGGGCGTTTTGAAAACATTTTGAGCCGTCTGGAATCTTTGTTGGTGCATTGAGCTGATAATTCGGCGATTCGGGGCCCTCAAGGCCCGTCTTGGGGGCCTCTTGGGGCACTCTTGTCGCGTCTTGTGGCTGGGCCGCAGAACCGCTCGTGGGGGATGCGTATCTGGGGGGCGATCCACCCCGGGACCCCGCCCCCCGGCGGGCAGGGGATCAAAGGGAAGAGGCTTTTCTTCGACTCAGCTACGACGTTGCTCAATGTCGGTTGGGCTGGCGCGCTTAGGGAGGGGGGCCCATGTACGGGGGACAACGGAGAGGACGATTGACGGAGACGACGAAGAGACAAAGCAGACGCAGACGACGACGGAGACGACGAAGAGACGACGGAGAGGACACGACGACGAGGAGACGACGGAGACGGAGACGACGACGGAGACGACGAGACAACAGCGACAACACGACGACGACGACGGCGACCAACGGAAAAGCGTCTTCCACAAGCCGACAGGGTCGGTGGATTTTCATTGGAAGTGCCCCATCGGTAGACAACCGTCTGAGAATTGTCACTCGTGCCAAACGCAACTTGTCTGAGTCCCGTTGCTACATGTGGATTCCGGCCTGGATACGAATGCACCGATGTTGTTGCCACTATCAAGCAGTGCGTGTTCCTAGCGACTCGCTGGGGTATGCCCTTAGTACTTGGCTCGCCGGACGCCGAGATTGCGTTCGACGCGATGCGCCACGACAAACAGTTCAGGATACTGGTGGGCCGGGGAACGCCTCGCACCCTGGCAACGTCACGTGTTTGTTTGGATTTCACAGGGTGCGTGCCGAGCGAGCGCATAGATATGGAGACAAGGGGGAACAATGAGAAGTCGAAACCCCTGATATCTTCAACGTTATGTTTGAATGGGAACTTCTGGAGTGATAGTGTAGTGGGCTGAACGCGGATTTGGTTTCCCTCTGGATCCGGCAGCCCTCCTCTTACACATCTTATGTGGGCAGATGATATTTACGTATTCGCGTCGGCTTTGACAGAAGTTCAAAACATGGCACGAGAATTCATTCAGGCGATTGCCGCGCTAGGCTTCAAGTTGAAACCATCTTCACTACAGTGTATGATTTGTGGCGTCTCGCCGGCGGAACCGCAACCGCTGCCGCTTACCGCAAATCAGGGCGGGGGCATCACGACATGCGCAATGGTTGACCAAATGGAAGTTTGGGGAGTTATGGTGAGCAAAGAGGCGGATTCTTCCGCCAGGCTGGAACACAGACTGATAAAAGCAGAGGGCGCCTATTTGAGTAACACTCGGGCTCTACGAGGCCCTTGACCGCTTTCAGACAAGCTTAGCGCGTGGGCTGGTGGACTATCAGCCTGTGTGGCGCACGTTTCGGCCACGTGGGAGTTAGCCAAACATGTGTTGATAAAGCTGAGACGTTGGGAGCCGTCTGTCTTGCGTGAGATGTTCAACCTTTGGTGGGGACCACGAAAAGGCCAAGCTGCTTTCATGACCCGCACGGCGAGGCCATTAGGAGAGGGGTTCGCACGAGCGGGTGTCCGACCACAGCATTTGAGACTGCTCCTGGAAGTCTTCAGAGGAGCATGGCGTGACAGAGCACTGAAGCCACACAACGGCAACAATGAAGCAGGCTCATATTTATCGTAGCAGGCTGTATCAGGGAAGCGGCGAGCATGATTTCTAGCTTCAGACGTCGACGGCACAAAGGCCTCGTACATTCAGGGATATAGGGCGCCGCGGGGACTGGGAAGATGTTTTTGTCTTTGCGTTTGGCGCGACTGGGGATCTACCCAGAGCTCAAGCAGCGCAGTTGTACCGCAGGGGGGGTTGTCAGTGTGCAGCCGTCTCCCTGCCCGCCCGAGTCCGTCGCCGGCGGCCAGGCGAGCACGAGTTGGAGGAGATGCCGGACCAACATGTGGAAGGTGTCGGGGATCTTCTGACCTGGGTCAATCCAGACCCGGGTCAGCTGGAAACCCAAAATTGCAATGCAGGAACAAAAAATTGCAACGCAGGTCTTCGCAAATCCGGGTCAGCCAATAGGCGCGGCCGCCTCGCAGCCACGAGCGGCTCGCTAACCCGGGTCAGCCAGAGGGGGTCTTCGCAGGATCTTGCAGGATCCGCTGCTGTGGCTGACCCCCGTCTGCATTGACCCCCGTCTCGATGCTCCCGCTCCAGAGCTGCGCTTTCAAAGCGGGCCGCGCAGAATTGCACGTGTCAAGCGATGGCGGGCGTGGCGAACGGAGTAGTCGCACAGGCCGATCCTCAATGCGAGCCCTCGTGTGCCAGAGTGGCCCAACGTATATCCCAAGTGTTGGACAAAGGCTGGAAACTCGCGCGGGACATCGATGAGCGTGGGAATGCAATCAAATCGCGGGCTACTTGGTGAACCATACGACGGAGAAGCGCAGATCAAGGTGCCACCGTTTTGTTACTGCCAGCAATATTTGTTCAGATTGTGCTAGTTTGTTGATGCACGTGGCCTGCGAGACGTGGGCAGGCACCTGCTCGGCAGCCGCCGGTTGGTACTTAGGAGGGGGTGTACGATCTGGACGCATAAATTTGAATAGCTTTCCTATACCCATGTCTGGCATGTTTCTACAGCAGCCTGTTTCATCATGTGCTGTGGTGGCCATTACTTTGGACGAGGCTGCACAGGCATTGACAACCACAGCCGCATAGCATTAGGCGAACAGCCGTCAGCATGTTGACCGATGCTTGGGGAAAACATGAAGAAATCGCAGTTATTCGGATGCCAACGCCGCGAATCAGCATGATGGTTGCGTCCTGACAACTTAAAGCCGCGCCAGAACATTCCTGAGACTTCGACCATACGAATCCTTCAACTAGTTATAAGCATATAAGGCAAAGATGCGCGGCGCTAAGGCGAGAACCACAGTTTGAATCCCACCCTCTCTTCATCTTTGAAGCTGTGCAATGGGGTGTGCGCGGCGTTAAAGCGAGAGCCACATGCTGATAACGACCCTCCTTTCATGTTAGAAATTGATGCGCACTTCTAACACGAATACGCGCGGCAATGCAAACGCAGTGTTCCCAACCCTCTTTGGTTGGGTATTCGTTTTGAAAAGAGCACTGCTGGTGCGTCCTTCCTCCCACCTCCTCCTCCTGCCCTCTCTTCGCCGTCGCTGGGGGGCTGCGATCTGCGAAACTGTCGCCACTTTCGAGGGCTGCTGGTGGGTCCAGCGGAGTGAGGCACCGCGCAGACCTGAGCGAGGCCTCGCTGTCCCTGGGGGGGGGGCTGCGATCTGCGAAACTGTCGTCACTTTGGAGGGCTGCTGGTGGGTCCAGCGGGGCGAGGCACCGCGCAAACCTGAGCGAGACCTCGCCGTCCCTGGGGGGCTGCGATCTGCGAAACTGTCGCCACTTTCGAGGGCTGCTGGTGGGTCCAGCGGAGTGAGGCACCGCGCAGACCTGAGCGAGGCCTCGCCGTCCCTGAGGGGATGCGATCTGCGAACTTGTCGCCATTTTCGAGGGCTGCTGGTGAGTCCAGCGGAGTGAGGCACCGCGCAGACCTGAGCGAGGCCTCGCCGTCCAAGGGGGGCTGCGATCTGCGAAACTGTCGCCACTGTCGAGGGTTGCTGGTGTTTCTCGCGGAGTGAGGCACCGCGCAGACCTGAGCGAGACCTTGCCGTCCTTGGGGGGCTGCGATCTGCGAAACTGTCGCCACTTTCGAGGGCTGTTGGTGGGCTCGCCACTTTCAAAGGCTGCTGGCGGGTCCAGCGGAGTGAGGCACTGCGCGGTCTTGAGCGGGTCCTCGCCGTCCTTGGGCGGCCATCATGTCATGTTATTGCTGCCTCGCCGACGTTTCAAGCACCTTGCCCACAGTCTCTTTGCGGACCTTGCGTCTCCCTTAGTGATTCAGGGGCTCACTTAATTACTCATCGTTTTTTCCCTTGATTGGGGACCTGCGAACCTTCCGAATGCCGCTCGCAGAAGTATATGCGTCCATGTCACGTCTCCGCCTTTTCGTCCAATCTCCCAAGCTACTCCTGCCCCGCATTGCGCAATGGTTGGGTAATTACGTCGCCAGGGTAATTGTTCATTGAAAATAAAGAAGCTGTCCGCTCTTGAAGCTGTTGTATTTCCTTTCGGTGGCCTCTTGGAGGCAGTTTTGAAGCCTCTTGGGTGCCTTCTTGGGGCCTCTTAGGGGCCTCTTTTGGTTTTCTTGGGGGCCTTCCGGGGCCTGCGGAAGGCCTATTGGGGGCCTTCGGGGCCTTTTTGATTGAGGGCTTCTTGAGGCGGAGGGCTCGATTTGTTAGTTCGTGTTCCCGCTCTTGGGCCACTCTTGGGGCAGTCTTGGATCACTCTTGGGCCGACTTGAGCGCCTCTTGGGCCGTCTTGGGGTGCTCTTAGGCCGCTTGGGGGCCCTCTTGGAAGCCTCTTGGGTCGGGCCGTCTCGGGGTGCTCTTATGCCGTCTTGGGGCCCTGTTGGAGGCCTATTGAGCCGTTTGGGGATGTTTTAGGGGGCATCTCGGTCCGTCTTCGAGCGTCGGAAAGCCGAAAAGGCGAGAACGCCCAAACTTTTCAAAAACCGACCGACGATCAATGATTCTTGATTCTTGGGGTCCTCTTAGGAGGCCTCTTGGAGGCCTCTTGGGGCATCTTGGATACCTCCTTGGCCATCTTGAGGCCTTCTGAGGCGTCTTCGAACGATCGTTCGGCGACTCGGGACCTTCTTGCGGGCCTTCTGGGCCGTCATTGAAGCTTCGGAGGGCCCCGGGGAGGCCCCCGGGGAGTCGGGGTGGTGCAGTCAAGTGGGTGCTACCAGAGCGGGTGGGAGGTCTCTCGGAAGATTACCAGAAATTTGCCAGGCAGACCTTGGCATTCTTCCACGCCTCAGCGTGCCGCAGGCACGGTAGCAGATTTACAAGGAATCGGAGGAGGGAAGGAGGGGGGGGCAGGGACGACGGCCTGAGGAGGGCCTGGGGGAAGGGAAGAGGAACAGCAGCAGCAGCAGCAGCAGCAGCAGCAGCAGGGAGGAGGAAGAGGAGGAGGTGGAGGATGAGGAGAAGGAGGAGGAGCAGGAGGAGGAGCAGGAAGAGGAGGAGGAGGAGGAGAAGGAGGAGGAGGAGAAGGAGGAGGGAAGGCAACATTGAGGAGCATCAGCAGCAGGAGGAGCAAGCGCAGGCGCTCGCGGTCTCCCCCCCCTCTCGGCCACGTCCGGGGGCTGGCGCAGAGGCAGGAGCACGGGGCGCGGTTCCCCCCTGGACGGTTTCTCCGAAGGGCTCCGGCGACCTCCTCCTCCTCCTCCTCCTCCTCCTCCTCCTCCTCCTCCTCTCCTCCTCCTCTCCCTCCCTTCCTTCCTTCCTTCCTTCCTTCCTTCCTTCCTTCCTTCCTTCCTTCCTTCCTTTTTTCCTTCCTTCCTTTCTTCCTTCTCCTTCCCAGCGGCGTCGGTTTAGGCACCGCTGTACTGGTTCGGCCCACGGTGCCCCCCTCCCCCCCCCCCAAAAAAAAAAAAAAAAAAAAAAAAACTCCTCCTCCTCCTCCTCCTCCTCCTCCTCCTCCTCCTCCTCCTCCTCCTCCTCCTCCTCCTCCTCTTCCTCGGGTCGCCTGCGGCTCTGGGGAAAACCGTGCAGTTCCCCCCCCCTCTCGGCCTTGCCCAGGGGCTGGCGCTGTCGGCCCTGGAGCCCTGCGAGGAGAGCCAGAGCTGCCTGTCGGCTCCGGACGTGGACTGCCGCTGGGGCTCCCGCCGCTTCCTCTCTTCCCTCTTCTTGCTCGCCGCGCCACTCCTGCCGATGCCTACTCAGGTACAGCAGCACCGACCGTCGCCGCCCACCAAACCACCCCAACCCAACCCGAAGGCCCCGATTTGCCATCCATTTCCAGTGGGGGGGGGGTCGGGGAATATAGAAAAAAACGCATATGAAGCCCGTACGCCCCCCCAAGCCGAAATTCGGGTCTTCGGGTTGGGTTGGGGTGGTGTACTAGGTAGTCAGATCGAGGAACGTTGCAGATACAGTTTAGGGATCAAGGTCCGATCCGACACCCGACCCGAGGAGTTTGAGCTACCCAGGCAAAGCACCTCAACATACAGGCCTTCCAGATGGGGTCTGAGTAGATGGGGTCGGACGCCGATGCGTCGGCGATGCTGCGCCATTCTCCGACCCCTCTACTCCGACCTCACTTGGGAGACCTCTACAATGGCAGCAAAGGCAAAGGTGGAGAGGCGGGTCGAGGAGTGCAGCAGAGGCCCGTGCCAAAAAACACCTTGCTTGCCTCCAGGTTACCCTGGGTGTTTGGGGCTTTCATGGCTTTGCCATGGAACGCGTGACGTTACCACACCAAAAATCAGTGGACCTCCTGGGGTCTCAGGGTTGGGTTACTTGTGGAAGGTTTCTTGTGGTCGAGCTCCTACTGCAGGAGAAGCACGGCCGAGAAGCCCGAGAGAGAGAGAGAGAGAAGAGGTGCAACTGGGGCAAGGGTGAGCGCGGGGCCACGACTTCGGCGGGGCTTTCTTGCACGAGGGATCGTGGCCTTCCAGACCAGCAGTGGAGCCGACACTCAGGCGAGAGCACGGTTCTCGGAGGGCACGCAATGCCGAAGAAGAGAAACGGCCAATAACATGAGCGTTCGACGGTCCGCGCGTATTTCTTGGATCCGCGTTCGGCCCCCCCCCCCGGCAGCGTCTTCGGCACCGCCCCTGGCGCGCTCCGCGCGCCACGGAGGGGGGTCCAGCGCAGATGCAAGACGTCCGCGCGGAGCACAAACCGTTTGTGTGTATGGCGTTGTTCCTTCTGCTAGCATGGGGGTGTCATGAATGGGGGGGCAGCTAGGGCCGCAGAAAGGGGCTCTTCAGGGCTCCTAAAGGGGCCCTCTCGGGCCCAGAAGGGGGCTTCCAGGGCCCGACACGGACACCTTCTTCCCCCCCCAGGTGTCGCTCCCCCATTATTCGCGCCCAACGGCTCCTGAATAACTTGTGAGGAGGTTCCAGGTGAAGTGGCTGCTGGAACTGGCGGTCTCGGGCTCCCCGTCAACCTGTGTGGGGCATTTCTTCGGTCCCTGCTTATCAGCATGAGAGCCTTCAGCGAAAGGTCATGCGGGGAAAAAAGCCCCAGAGGCTGACGCCATTCCGCCGAGCCCCAGATGAAACCGCTGGGAGGAACAGCGAGAAATGGAAAAACACAGCAGGGAAGGAGCATCTCGAATTGGGTGTGAGTCTGGCCTTGAGGGGGAGAACTCGCATACAGCCCTCCCACCACCACGTGAGTGTTTGGGGGCGTGACGGGCCCGATGATCCTCAGGACGTGTGGTAGCGCTAACGTGTTCTTTCCCATCCACGCCCTTCAACAAGACTGGGCAATAGCAGCAACGAGAGAGAGAGGGGGGACCATATGCACTTGTGAGTACCGTCGTCGTACGCACCGCATTCGGAACAGTTCCTTCTAAGGCCACGAAAAGTGTGAAGGGTGTGCCAAAATGGGTGCGGTGGGCGCGCGCGAACGCAGCCACTGGGGCCGTCGGTTGAGCTCCCCATGGGGCCATGAAACGTTTGAGGGGTGTGCCAAACTGGGTGCGGTGGGCGCATGCGAACGCAGCCGCTGGGGCCAGCGGTGGGGCTCTCTATGGAGCCACGAAATGTGTGAGGGGTGTGCCACAATGGGTGCGGCGGGCGCATGCGAACGCAGCTGTTTGGGCCGTCGGTGGAACTATCTCCCAACGTGCCAAGGGTATGCCGAGATATGCGCGGTGGGCGCATGCGAACGCAGCCATTGGGGCCACGAAGCGTGAAAGGGATGTGCCAAACACTGGTGAGGTGGGTGCATGCGAGCGCAGCCACTGGGACCGTCGGTGGAACTCCCTACGGGGCCACGAACCGTGTGAGTGGTGTGCCAAAATGGGCGCGGTGGGCGCATGCGAACGCAGCCGTTGGGCCTTCTGGTGGAACCCATCTATGGGGCCACGAAACGTGTGCGGGGTGTGCCGACATGAGCACGGTGGGCGCATGCGAACGCAGCCGCTGGGGCCGTCGGTGGAGCTCTCTATGGGGCCGCGAAGCGCTTAGGGGTGTGCCACAAGTGGTCCGGTGGGCGCCTGCGAACTCTGGCATGTGGACATTCGGTGGAACTCTTTGTGGGGCCACGAAACGTCTGAGGGGTTTGCCAAAATGGGTGCGGGGGGCTGATGGTTGTCGGGGTAGACCGCTTCTTGGGAGCTGCACGCGCACCACCACCACCGCCTGGGGGATTCAGAATGAGCTTGTGTGAGGAGAGAGGAGAGAAGAGGTGGAGACTGAAGAGGAGGAGGAGGAGGAGGAGGAGGAGGAGGGAGGGAGGGAGGAGGAGAAGAAGGAAGAGGGGGAGCATGGAGAGGGGGAGGGAGGGTGGAGGAGAGAGGGCGGACGAGGGAGAGGAGGGAGGCGGAGACCCCCGCGCCGAGGCTCCTGGGGCGAGTGGGGCGCCTGCTCCGGCTGCGACGGCCAGCGCCAGCGCAGCCGCCACATCGAGCAGGTCGCCACGGGCCTGGGCCGACCGTGCGAGGCGGCGCAGTCGGAGGACGCGCCCGCGGCGCGGCGCCCCCCAATGCTTGAGTCGTGCGTGTCCCCATCAAGGAGGAGTATTCAAAAGTTACACCTGAGAAAACCCCAATCAGTGGATGCTTTGAAGAGTGGTACTATGGATCTCGAGATCGATAATGAGATCACTTGTGATATTGATAGTGAGATCGATTGTGAGATCGATAGTGAGATCGGTCGAGAAGTCGGTCATGAGATCGATGGTGAGATCGATCGAGAAGAAGATCGACCAGGAACCCGGGAACCCGGGAACCTCGCCGCCCTCCGAAATCGGCCCGGAACCTGGAACCGGGAACCCGGGAACCCGGAACCGGGAACCCGGGAACCCGGGAACCCAGCTTGCCACCAAAATCGGCGGGGAAGTTTCGCCAAATCCTTCAATTTCCGCTCGGACCATTTCAGTGCAAGATCTGATTGGGGAATGATCCAAAAATAGTCTGGGGACGATGCTTTGAGTATCTTGACTATTTGGGTGCATTTCTGGAGCATTATTTACCTTTCGCCCCACATCCGCTTGTAGACATGCCCAACCTAGCCCAATGCGCAGTGCCCGCTGCGCGGTGCCTGCTGCGCAGGTCGCAGCCGGCCAGGCGGCGACGGCGGCGGCGGCGGCGGCGGCGAGGACGGAGCGGCAGGGCGAAGGGCTCGAGGAGGGACGGCGGCAAGGCCTTCCTCCTTCTCCTCCTCCTCCTCCTTCTCCTCCTCCTCCTCCTCGTCCTCCTCCTCCTCCTCCTCCTCCTCCTTATCCTCCCGTAGCCACTTTGGCTCAAGATGCATGGTTCCTCTGGGGAACAGGTGGATACCGCTAGTCCGCGGCAGTCAAGACCCTCTGTGGTCTGGCAGTGTTTGTGCCTCGCTCGCACGGTCTCCCTGGCGGGTAAACGGAGGTGTTTCCTGTTCCTGCGGGGGCGAGCGTACCAGTCTCACTCATGGGCGTCGCCGACCCCAATGCGCAGCAGGCGCTCCTCGACGGTATCGACCTGGTGGCTACCTTCCCATCCCAGAATGCCAATGACAACGCGAAGGGCGGCAACCGTGGGAAGGGCTCGGTCCCTGCTCGTGATGCTGATGCTGTTGCTCCTCCACCTGGCAAGCGTCGTGCCGTGCCGCCTACCTCTGGGGAGGCGTGCGGAGACGGCGAGCCTGTTGAGGTCGAGATCGACGACGACGGCGGCTGGAATGGAGTGTCAGATGATCACCTACGAAATATTGTACGATCAGAATGGAATGGTCTCAAAGAATCTATGTAAGAAGAGGTGGGCAAAGCTGTCGCCGCGTCCGTGGCGGAGTCTAACAAGATCGTCCTCCAGGCCCTCGACGCTGTCAGGTCGCAGCTTGATGGGCAAGCCTCTTCCACCGACCAGCAGGTGCAGTCCGCCATCCAGCCTTCTTTGAACGAAATTGGTAAAAAGGTTTCAGAAGCAGTTTGATATCCACGCGGCGCGCCTGGAGGAGCACGACGAGAGGTTGGACAAGCACGATGAGAAGTTGCGATCCTTGCAGGGGGAGCTCGCCGAGTTCAAGAAGCTGCCCGCGGTTGCGGAGGAGCGGCCCGTGGTCCCCGTTGCCGTCCCTTCTGGCTTCGCTCGCGACCCCGACCAGAATCTGGTGGTTGCCATGTCGCAGGTGCCCACGACCCTCGCGGCTGTCAAGAAGTCGTTCGATGAATGGTTGCTCTCACTGTCCCTCACCTCGGATGACTACAAGATCGAGGCGGCTGGGCCCTCGCCCACCCGTCGCTTCCTCATCAAATTTGGCGGGCTGGTTGCCCCTGCGACACGCAAAGTGCAGATGGTACTCTCAAAGCTTCGTCAGAATGGAGCCTGGAAAGAGTTCTGGGCTGATGTGGATGGCGCGCCCTCGCGCCGTCTCCACCTGGGCCCCGACAAGAGTCCGCAGCAGGTCAAGCAGGAGATCACGCTGCGCAGGTGCAAGGCTGCCTTGCAGGAGTTGTGCGGCGCGAGTTCCAAGATCTTCCTGGACCGCGAGAGGGGGATATTGTCTCTTGGATGGGGCGAAGTTCTACGCGTCGAAGTCTTCCATGGCGAGCCCCCGCCGAAGTCGCGGTGGGTTATCGAAGGCCCCCAGAAGCATAACATCACTAAGGCGCAGGCCATTGCTGCCACCAAGGCGCTCACTGACCCTCCCAAGGAGCCCCAGTGGTGCCTTTGACGTGCCCTCTGTCTTCCAGTTCAGTACGAGTGAGAGCAACGACTCTCCACCTGCCCTACGGTTTGCGACGTGGGATTGTCGCGCGCCCCCCCAGGCCGCGGGGGAGAAAGCTAGCCTAAAGAAGAACTACCTTGCGCGGCTCTTGCCGCAACGCACGGTCGCGTCGTTGCAGGAGCCCCACCAGGGCGAACTCCAGCTACGCGCGCCCATGAACCAGATCTACCCCGAGTCCGCGCTGATCACGAGCTTCGCGGGCGAAGGGAGGGAGGGCCGCATCAAGGGTGGGGCCGCGATTTTGTTGCCGAAGCTGTCTGTGATGGGGGGGACTGCGTCGACAGTCTCGCATGACAGTCTTGTGCCTGGCGAGTACTGAGGGTTGAGATCCAGAGGGGGGATGTCGTGCTCACGGTATTCAACATTCATAATCACGGGTTGCGCTCGTGCGACATCCGCACGGTGACCGCCTCCATCAACGCTGCACTCAGGGCCGCCCAGGACGGCCCGATTCGCAAGCTGGCGGTGGTGAATGGCGCTTTCAACTTTGCGGCGGACGAGGCGCTAATTTTGCACGCTCCTTCGGCTGCCATTCGGCGGTCTCGCCGTCGGCTCCACTACCAGGCTACGATCTGGAGAAGGACGCTTGCTCGCATGCTCGAGCTCGAGGGGGGCGAGCCGACGCGCTACACGAAGGACGCGAGTCGGCCTGCGTCGACGGGGTCTTCTGCTCGTTGGCGAGCTGGCAGGCTTGCCAGTTGTACATCACCTCTTCGACGATCGAGTCGGCGTCAGCCGTCTCAGACAAAAAGATATCTGATCATGTTGCGGTGGTCATCTCGTTCTCTGCCCGTTCCCCTAGGCCCGCGTCTGAGCGCCCTGTCCCTCGGGAGTTGTGCCGCGAGAAGTTCTTCTTGGAGCGTCTGGCTGGCCTTATTCGGTCAAGTGACTGGTCAGCGATGTCTCCACCCTTCCGTCTTGAGCACTACAAAGCGTCACTCCGCCAGGCTGGTCTTGAATCCCGCGATCGTCTCTTCCGCCTTCGCCCCCAGCACCCGCAATCGTTATTGCTTCTCGCTCGATCGCTGGCTCGCGCGGCGTGGAGAAAGGATTGGCGCCCGGCACGCCGGCTCCAGAATTCGCATCCTGAGACGGACGTGCACGTAGTGATTGACGGTGCCAGTGTATCCTTGCGGCATCCTCCTTCGTTCCAGGAGTGGTCTTGTCGCGTCCAACGGGGGGCTGCTGACGCTCGCCGCCGCGAGCTCCAGGCTAGACAGGACAAAGAAGGGAGTGTGCAGCATACTCGCGCGCAGCTGCGCGCGCTCGAAAAGAAGGCAAGGTTGTGGTCTCCGATTGGCCAGCGCCTCTCGCTCTCGGGCGTTGCCGACCCCTCATCAGGCTCTGTCGCGACTGACCCAGCCGACCGCGTTGACGCCTTGGGTAAGTATTGGGGCCTTGCATTCGCCAAGAAGCCCTTTGACGCACAGGAGGCTCGCTCGTATCTTCGGGGGTGGCTACCTTCCATTGAGGACGTCGCCTTGCCGCCGCCGTCGCTTCGTTCAATGAGGGAGGTTATCAGGAGAGCGCGCCACAGTGCCACGGGGGTAGATGGGCCGCCGCACGACGCTTGGGGATGCAATGAGTTCGGGACCCATGTTCTTTTTGACGCGCTGGAATGGGTGATGTCTGGGCAGAGGCTATTCTTGGAATTCAATACCACTATCCAGGCCTTCCTCCCGAAAGCCGTCACTGACAACGAGCTGAGGGGCGGCTCGTGCACACGTACTCCTGATAAACTACGGGTTCTCGGGTTGAGGAACACGGATGTAAAGATCATGTCCGCGGTTGTGAATCGCGCGCTTCGCCCTGTCGTCGCACGCGTTGTCCCCCAGGCCCAGCGCGGGTTCGTGCCCGGGCAAAACTTCGGGTTTAATATTTGAGAGGTGGATGCACATGCTCGGAAGCTATCGGCGGCTTGCCCTCATGACCCTGGGCTTCCCCTCCTCTTCTCCCTGGATTTCGGCCAGGCCTTCCCCTCCCTGAACCAGGATTACATGCTTATGGTGCTGCAGATGCTGAACCACCCTGATGCCCTCCTCCTCTTCGTCTGCTCCTTGCACGCCGCGATCGAGGGCGTTGTCTCGGTCGGCGGGGTGCTGCGGAGGATCTCCTGGATCTGCAGTGGGATTATTCACGGATGGGAGCCTCTTCGCGCTGAGTGCGGCACCCTTCATCAGAGATCTCGAAATATCGGTCGAAGCTCATGGGCACGGTCTTGTTCGAGCGTGTGCTGATGACG